TAAGAATCCTTTCATCTCGCACTAAAACTCGATTCTAGTTTCCCATTTCATTTATAAACAGGAAGACTAAATTCATTAAAAACCAATTTGGCGTTCTGCTTTGTAATCGATACCCCCACATTGTCATATCTGCAGAACCTGACTTGCCGTTATGTAAGGGTCTATTTATACTCCCTTATTATTAGTATTTGTATTAGTATTATGATTAAACATTAAACTGGACTAAATATTCAAAAACGGTATTTATACACGTTTTATAATCAGCATTAGTGCTTCTTCTTTTTTAATAATCTAAGATATAATTTTGCAGTCAACAAAATGTTGGTTACTGAAGAAATGTGTAAGAGGCCAGTTGTGTTCTTAGAATATTTTTTAAGATATTTGAGTTTTTAACGTGTTTTTATTAATATTTTTACTAGTTAATTTTATTCAAAAATAGATTTAATTAAGGACATTTTAACGGGTTTACGTCTCAAATTTATAACAGATAAAATGAAACAGAAATTTAAGACAAATCAGTCAGAAAAGAGGCGTTTGCTTCTTCGTAGTGACAGTCATTTGTCAACTTTATACTCTGTAAATATTGCTCATACACAAAAATTGTATACAGCGCATGGTTTGTACCGAAATATTATCGTTTTCGAGTTTTTTGAAACAAAATTATAAACAACATCTGATAACATAATCATATGTGTATTGTCAATTGTCATTATCCGTTGTCTATTAAAAACAAAGGCCAAATACGTCATTGATTCATTTGATAGAAAAGAAGAAATTTAAGATTTAACATAAAAGTTGAACCTGTCAATTATTAAGCATAAATATTAATGCTAATACTAATCATAAATCGAGTATAAATGTCCCCATTACATTGTGAAGGTTCAACTTAATCCTTAATCATAATACTAATGCAAATATTAATAATAATGGAGTATAAAGAGACCCTAAGATGTTTAAAACTTGCAGGCTTTAACATCGAAAAGGGTTCAACGACACATTAAAGTTATTGTTGTCTTTAATAATAATAGACCCGAACAATTATAACAGGCAACATCAGGAAAATAAATAGGTACGTTAGATCATTAGCTTCAGGGCTTCTAATGCTTTTTTTTTATTTAAATAGCACATACATTTATATATAGAAAAACAAGAAAATATGTGTCACAAAATAATACTTTCATTAAAACTATTATATGAATTCCAAACTAAAACAACAGATATAAAATGATATTCAACATTATAGCTTCAATTTTACGAGAACGTCATTCTTGGACCGACGGTGTTCTTATTAGGACTCATCAGCATGAAATAGATATTCTCGATTCCAATTTCTTATGAAAGCTGTAATTGCGTAAAATACTTTGATATTGGTTGAGTGAAATTAAGAAATACAAAACATCGCTATTCTACACTCAATAAGGAAATCGAAGCTAGTGTTAAAAATTAATTTTCTATTTTTGCTCTATTGTATTTCTTTGAAAATATTCTAATGTATGTTGTGATATTATCCAAAGGGGAAGTTGTTTTCTGATGGAAAACGGTCGATCGTATTTCGTGATACATACTTTGAAATGTTCTTGTTTTTCCTTATTTTACGTCTTGGTCACATTTAACTTTTCAAAAATAGAAGCAGAAATAAGCTTTTGTTTGATATATCAATCAACCTACGTCGCTATTTAAAAAAAAAGGTGGTGGTTTACGCTAAATGTTGACGTCACATAAATTTGATAATTCCTCTAAAAAAATGCAGAATACAATTTTATTTCATAATTTCATAAAGTTCATTCATTCGAAAAAAAATATCTTGTTTCCAGACTTTTTTAGCTACCTTGGATACAATATTTACAACTTGGTTTTATCGTTCAATTTTTGAAGAGTAATAAGGAAATACAATTTTTTTTGTTGTCCTGAATATCTTTGCAAATTTTTAAATTACGAATATATTCATGAAAGTACTGAATGTACTTTTGTTTTTTATGATTTTTAAATATCTTATATTTTGAACAATTATCGACTTTTCCCAGTTATAGGCTTCTGCGCAACTTTTTCGCGCATACAAACATCACGTGATCCTCACTCTCAGACTCCTTGCTCCGCAGAACAGCTGAGATCTCAGTTCTTTGATAATATTGAAGACATTGAAATATATAAGTTGTCATGTGTTAATACACTCATCGACTTAAAATTCGATCCATTCAAAATAATGATTTATTTAAAAATGATCTAACTTTCAAATGCGGAGGCTGATTTATTTGAAGTTTTTAGCAACTTTTAGATAAAATACTGTAGTTTTAAGATTATTATTCGGACATCTAAAAGTAATTTAGTACTCGCCGGATATACAGGGGGAATAGAAAACAATTTTTTTTCTCTACTTTTGACACACCCTGTAGGTTAATTCTGCTAGTAGATCTGCACACAGTTAACTTTATCAAGAAGACTGATTTGTTTCCAACATTTTGTTTTTTTTTATTTTCCCCGATATCTTAATTTGTTTGTGAAATGTGACGGTTTAAAGAAAATGCAACATTCTTAATTTTTTTATTCAGTTTTAGCAGAGTAATACATAATTTTATAAACAAATCAAACAAAAAATAAACTAATAATTATCACAAATTAATAACGGGTATTTCCCCCACGAGCGCAAATAACTGCCTCAATGCGTCGTGGCATACCCTCTATTAGATGTCGAATCTCCATCTGGTCAATCTGATCCCTTTCCTGGACCAAAGCATCTCTCAAAAAATTTAAATTACTTGGAGAAGGAACTCGGTTATGAATTCGTCTGCCCATCATATCCCAGACGTGCTCAATTGGATTGAGGTCTGGGCTACGTGATGGCCAGTTCATCCTTTGTATTTCTGTTTCGTCCAAATATTGAGATACAATCCTCGCAATATGTGGTCGAGCGTTGTCATGCATAAACATGAATTCGTTTCCTATAAAACGTGCAAATGGAATTACATGTGGATCTAGCACATCACGAATATATCGGTTAGCTGTCATTGCTCCGCCGCCAACAATGACTAAATCAGTACGAGCTTTCATGCTTATGCCGCCCTAAACTATTACCGATCCTCCTCCATAACTGAGTCTTGTGGAAAAATTTGCTTGGTCAAACCTTCCGCCTCTTCTTCGGTATATTCTTTCACGGCCATCAGGAGAACAAACAAAACCTTGACTCGTCAGGAAATAAAATCTTACTCAAGTCATCGACATTCCAATGTTGATGCTCCCTGGCAAATCGAAGACGTGCTGTTCTGTGATTCCTAAGTAACTCCGGACCAGTTGCAGGTCTTCTGGAGCGTAATCCTTGTTCTCGTAATCGCCTTCGAATCGTTATTTCGTTAACAGTTACTTGACGTATCTCTTCTAAACGATTTCGAACCATGACATCAGTAGAACTTCTTTCTCGCAAAACATTTAATGTTACAAAACAATCATCTCGAACATCTGTAGAACGTCGTCTGTCAGATCCTCTTCGTCTCGAAAAACTAACAGTTTCATTGAAACGTACAGCTCTCTGGACGCTACACCTTGTAACACCTAATATTTACCGCGTTTGAGAATCCACATCGGATGCATTTTTTACATCTCGAGCGTTTTTTTATCCACATCGGACACATCTGTCCCATTACATTTACGTATACTGAATTACGTGATCAAAGATTTTTTACATCTCAGATGCATTTAATGTGGATTCTCAAACGCGGCAATTCTAGAAGCACCGTCTTGTACCAGAGAAACTGCTCGTTCTACATCAGTAGGCTTTAAAACCATGATGTTATGCTGATAATGAATATTTGTTGACAGTTGTCATATTGTGAGTTGGCCACAGCATTTCTACTTATTTTGTAGTTTATTCTTTACCGTCATTTAAATTGACCGTTTCTAAAATGTAGCATTTTCTTTAAACCGTCACATTACACAAACAAATTAAGATATCGGGGTAAATAAAAAAACAAAGTGTTGGAAATAAATCAGTCTTCTTGATAAAGTTAATTGTGTGCAGATCTACTAGCAGAATTAACCTACAGGGTGTGTCAAAAGTAGAGGAAAAAATTGTTTTCTCTTCTCTCCTGTATATGTGGCGAGTACTAAATTACTTTTAGAAGTCCGAATAATAATCTTAAAACTACAGTATTTTATCTAAAAGTTGCTAAAAAATTCAAATAAATGAAAGTTAGAGCATTTTTAAATAAATCATTATTTTGAATGGACCTAATTTTAAGTCGGTGAGTGTATTTTGTTTCAATTACTGAATGTCCACTCTAATATATTGGTCTTGTCTTTTAAAACATGAGTTCGTCACGAAGAAAGTGTAAATATAGTAGTGACTTATTTTGTTATATTTGCGGTGTTTATATGACAAAAAAACAAAAAGAAATATCACAGACTTTGTCAAGGGAACTTATGCTAAATATTTCGTTTTTAAAATGGACAAACTGGATAATTGTAAGTCCTGTGTTGATTCTTTACGGTTGTGGAAAAAGGAGAACGTTCTGTATTAGACTTTGGTATTCTTATGATCTGTATAGAGCCTAAGAATCATTTCTATGATTGATTGTTACTTTTGCGTAGTAGATACTAAAGGTTTTAATCGAAATCAAACGTGGAGATATCCAGACTTACAATCTACAAAATGTCCTGTTTTACACAGTGCAAATCTCCCTCGACCTATTTACATTTCAAAAGTAGTTCGCATGCTCTCAGAAACAATGTTGTTGCCAAATTCATAGAAATCTGGACATTCTACCAGTGGAAGTGAATGGGAGGGTGAAAGTTATTTTCTCAAAATGAACTCAGTAATTTAATGCGTGATCTCAATTTATCAGAACAAGGATCAAAACTGTTAGCCTCAAGATTGAAACAAAAAAAATTTATTGGCACCAATAGTAACAATTACAACATACAGAACGCGAAAAAGTGAGTTATTACAATTTTTTAGTGAAAATAAAGGACTGGTGTGCTGTAATGATATTGCGAAGCTGCTTTTAGACATGGGTTTAAAAGAATACAAACCTACTGAGTGGCGCATTTTTATTGACAGTTGTAAAAGAAGTTTAAAATGCGTCTTACTACACAATGGAAATAAATTTGCATTAATTCCAATTACCCATTCAGCACAACTCAAAGAAGAATATGAAAATGTAAAATTAGTTTTAGAAACAATTAATTACTTGGAGTATCAATGGCCGATCTCGGTGGATTTGAAAATGGTTAATTTTTTACTTGGTCAACAAAGTGGATACATGAAATACCCTTGCTTTATTTGTATGTGTAGAGCAAAGCAACTTCATTGGGAACAAGATATTTGGCCTGTAAGAAATTCTTTAATTGTTGGTAAAGCCAATGTAATAAGGGAGCCGTTGGTGAGCAAAGACAAAATCATACTTCCACCATTACACATTAAATTAGGAATGATAAAACAATTTGTAAAAGCGTTGGACAAGGAAGGAAATTGTTTTAATTACATTTGTAGAAAATTTACGAAGCTTAGTATGGAAAAGTTGGAAGGTGGAATATTTGATGGTCTTCAAATACGGCAATTTATAAAAGACACAGATTTTATCAAAGTTATGACTGTTCCGGAAAGTAAGGCTTGGAAAAGTTTTATGTTGGTAGTTGAAAATTTCCTAGGTAACCATAAAATACCAAATTATGAAAAAAATATACAAAATATGCTGACAAACTTTCAGACTCTGAGAGAGCAAATATAAGTATCAAATTACACTATCTCCGCAATCATCTGGATAAATTTCCGGATAATTTAGGAAATTATAGTGAGGAACAGGAAGAGCGAAATTTAACATATGTTTTCGACATTTTTCTCTCTATTTACTTCGATGTATTTTAATTTTTCAAAACAAAACTGACATTATAAATATATCTATTATTTTGTTTCTTGTTTTCCGATTTTTGTAACGTAAAATGAAAATAAAGATTTAAAAGGAAACGAGAGAAAATCTTACGAAATCATTGATAGTTTCATGAATTGTAAGCATAAATATATCCAAAATCAATCTTATATTTAAGGCAACAAAACCACTGTAGACCAATGTAGTCTACAGTTCAACATGTATATTTATAATAATATATCCCAGGGATGATAATGTCAAACCTCGTAATTTCCTATCAATATCCGTTTTATAACCGTCACATACATCGTCAAAAGTAACAGCTGCGATTGGATATGTAGGACAATGAAGATTTTTTATTTCTTATTTTGAAGCGCTTAAAAGTTTCATTCAAACTATCAAAACAATTCTGGTAATTTCAAGATGTTTTTAAGATAGATACCACTTTCAAGTGACGCAACTGATCCGACCCTGCACATTTTGCCTTTAAAGTGACTGTCAAATGGAAGCAAAGTCAATAAGGGGTTGTCGCACAGGATCGTTCATTAACTATGTAATTCAAGACGACACTAGACGGGGCTCTTTTTTGCTTATATGTAAATTAAGTGGTGCGACGTATCGGTTTAAAATTAATTATCAATATGTCTAAACCGTTTATATTAAGCAAAAATAGGGGGAGTTTTTTTTTTTAATACCATTAGCCTCGTGTTCTGTGCAGGCTTTGTTACTGTTTCCCAGCGCCACTCTAGGAACAGCAATGTTAATTAAAACCCAACAGTGAATGGTCGAGTGGGGAATCCTACCAAGGCATCAGAATTAATTTTAAATAATTAAATTAAATGAAAAAATCCCGGGCAACGGTGGGATTCGAACCTGAGACCTTCCGATCTCAAAGTCATGACTCTAACCACTGAGCCAACCCACCCCCCCCCCTATAGGGGGAGTTATAACGAATTTTAATAACTAACGACTAGGGGAAGATATAAAAAATGCACTAATTAATTAACAATAATTTAAAACTTTCCCAACTTGATAACAATTTCTGATAATATCTATTATAGAGATATTGCAAATTTCTGTAACGTCAGCCTGTAATAATGCCAATGTAATTAGAGGTAAATAAATTCCATGATAAAATAAAACTTATTGAAAACAGGAAGTTTTGATATTGAGTCCTTATACAATATACATACTCCTAACCTCAATTTAAAAACTTATTATAGTTCATCTTTGTTGTTGTCTATAATAATACATAATATGGAAGAGGCATTAGAAACTACCATTTTAGGACATTTAGATGATTATATTGAATACTTAATATTAGAAAACATCGAATTGTTACGAATGTCGGCGATCGCATCCTAAAGATACTAAAGACGCCATTATTTGCGGTCAGTTCTAGAACTTAAACTATCTGCGCGTGCTCAGATGTCAAAATAAGAGATGCACTAATAGTAGCTGATCTTAAGTGAACCTTGTAATATCTCTATTATCTAGTGTGTCTATTAAAAACTATTATATCTATTACAGTCTATATCTAATAAAGCATGTGCCTATTAAATTTATTTAGTACATTTTTTGTAACCTATATTAATAATTTTTATTTACAACCATATATGTAATGATGTCATTACTAACGTCATTGAAGGTTGGGAAGTGTCACATTACACACCTCTACTTCCCGCCCTCACTTCATTTATTCAAGATGAATATTTTTTAAATTTAAAAATATCAGTTTTTTCTTCAATTTCTAGCATCGTTCGTATCATACTGCCCATAAAGTAGACGGCTTCTTTTGTCTGGTATGTTCTCCAAAATATGCCAGGAGTACACTTTCGGAACCGATATTTTTGACCTTTTTTTCTTCGCACCACTTCCTAAATAATTTAATGGCTTTTAGGTACCGATGCTTACTTTTCTCTGGCAAAACATTTTTTTCAATTTATTATTCTCGAATTTAATATCCGACTTAATCTGTATTTAAGAAAATTTTTATATACATGCTGGGAATTAATAAATGAAGACAACATAATATAAAAGTTTTTAAAACAAAAAAATTGAAGCGTATTTTTTGATTTTCTAGTAATAAATAAATTTTTAACCATTTTCGACCATCGAAACCATTAAAATTTTGTGTTTTTATGGCTGAAATTTGTCAAGTTTTCTCATTTTCATTTCACACATCCGCTAATATTTTTTAGATTATTTGCACTTACCTCCACGTGGCGTTGTGGATTTTTTAAAGTAGAATGCACTCTAGTCTCCATATTAGTATTTAAGGAGCTCCAACTTTCCTTCTATTTTCCTTTTTCTCCTCCTTTATCTCTACTCCCCCTTTGATCACCCTCATCTTTCTTTTTTCCCCATTTTTTTTTATCTTGTTACTTGCTCCCATCTTTTATCCCTTTTCAATCCTTCTTATCACTCTATTTCACCCCCTCTTGTCATTTCCTAACTCTATCAACAACTTTCCGATTAATCACACCCATATTGTACTTTGTGCCAACATTAGGCATCCTTTTGCTATATTCCTTGCCTTCTCTGGTCTCACATCCTTAACACACCAATCTCAATCTTTCTCTATACATCACCCTCTTTTCTCCACACTCCTTTTACCCCAATATCTCATAGAACTGATTCCTGGTAGTCTTAATTTGTTTTTTTATGAAATAGTTCCTCCTCTAGGATACCAGGAATCGGTTCTGTTAACTATCATCTATCCTTCTCTTCCTCTTTAATAACTCGAGTTAACTCCATACCTCACCTTTCCCCCAACAATTTACTACATTTCGTTTTAACCTGCGCTTCTGATTCAACATTAAATCCTTTGGTTTGGGTTCATTATACTTAAGGATTTTTTTTAAGCTATTGCATAACTTTTATCGAGGGCTTTGAGCGCGGCGACCGAATCAAGAAATTCCGTAACGAAAATAAACCTAACACCCCCCACTCCGACCGGTACAGCGGTGCGACGTTAAAAGCCGTGCATCGTCTAACGTCGTTTCAGTTCGACAGACTTCAGCACTGTATTTGTTTGCGTGCGACTAGACGTATGCGTGTAGACTAGATGCTAATTGCTCATAGCTGATTCTTCTCCGGAAATTTAGAGTGTTAAACTGTTCGGAGTAAAACTTGATAAAGTATTTTTACGATAAGAAGGCAGTGATATCACATGATAAACAACCTGGATTTTTTTCCTTCACTTAAAAAAAATTAATATTTTTCTAGCTTGAATATAAGTGCATCTAATATGCTATATGCTATCAACTTTAAAGTGCTATTATTAAGTTATAACTTAATTCAAGAATGGAATGGATCTAAAAAAGAACTGCTAGTCTATAGAACATTAAAATCTTGACTATAAAGCATTATCAATAGTAAGAAAAGTGTTTTAAGATTCAAATAAAAATTAATAATTATGTAGTTTTGTAATTTTTATTGTAATATACGAAATCATACTAATAAATAATATATTCAAAAATATTCGAACAAGACAGTTTTTTAATCATCGCTTTCTTCGCTGCTACTGATGTATTGGCTCAGATTATAAAGTTCGCCAAATTGACTGTAGTTGGCAGGTCACTGCCGTTCATTTTCTATGTAAGTCGATGTAAAATGAAGTGTTTTTTTTTTAAATTGGTGAAAGGAATCAAAATAATGTTAAAAAAGTATTAGAGTACAAGATTTACTTCGTTCCAGATTGTAAAATAGGATACAAATTAGATGTAAAACCAAAGAAAACAAGGATAAATCAATTCAATGTATTTTTAAAGCTTTTAATGTAAAGTAAAATATTGTCTAAATATAATATTCATTGTAAACTAGGCACAATGCGTATCTTACAGAGTGGAGTTTATTTTATTACAAGTTTCTCTAATATAAAATTTTACAGTCATAGATCCTGACTCACAAATAACAGTAATTATACATTAATTTAGCTCACTAGAAAAGAAAATTTGTTTTTTATAGAGTTTTAATGTTAATTTTTTCGTTGAACCCCAATTTTGTCATTGTAAATGTTTTTTTATAGTTTCCTAAACGTTTAAAACAGTGGCAGCATATATATCGTTCCTAGGGCCGATAAAGCACTTTCTAGAGATGATGCTGTTCTACAATTTTTAGACGATATTTCCAAATACTATGAGACTCTTTTTACCGTTAGCAAAATAAAAAGGGGAAAGCTGAAATTAAAGGATGAGGTAATATCATGTAAATTTCCTTTATGCTTGTATTATAACAATAACAAATCTCTTAATCGTGTTTTATTTTTTTCTTAAAACTATATTTAGGTATAATTCAAAAAAAATTAGACACAAAATTGTACTTACCAAATTTCAACATTTAACAAACCTTTTTGAATTTTATCTTACCTACCCAATTTACATTTTTTATAGATAAAATTAAATAATTTATCAATTAAAACATGCGAAACTTATTTAGAAACAAATACAACAGTATATTATGTGTTTTATTAGGCAATAAACCAGTTTATTTTTATTATTTTGTATTTTGAACAACGCTAGCAACACCAGCGCTCTTGTGGTGAATTAAAAAAGCTCAATTAGCGTTTTTTTTAGCACCGTATATCGAGTATGCCGATTCACCTTCTGATCTCTAGTCTTCATAGCTCAGGTTCACTCAACGAGATAAAATTTTCTTATGATTGACGTTTCCATTTTGTTACATGCTGTACAGACTTATAGAATGGAATTATGGACTTTTCTTGTTCTCTCGAAGTTGATTTTTATGGAATGCTCACTAATCTTCTAGGAAATCCTCACTATCGTCATCCTCATCCAAATTAGTAATAAGTGGAGGCATATTCTCAGTATCAAATACCACTATTCTATCCTTCTAATCCT